CACACACACACACACAAAGACCCAATGAAGACAAAGTGCAACACAATATGTATTTGTCCAAGAACAATTTTTATTATCTAGTACTTGATCATCTTGAGAGTATCAAAAAAGTCTGTTGCAACATTTCAACACTTAAAATAATTTGTTTTGTTGCTCACTTTGGTTTAAAAGATGTATTTTGGTATTCAAAAGCAGAAATATCAGAAAACCATAACTTAAATAATAACAGTTAAGTCTACACTTTAAATCTACATTTGGCACCTGAGTTTAGTCAGCAAAATTATCTGTGGATTTCAAATTAGCCTTTTATATTAATGCATTACACAGACAAACTTTGAACTTGAAACCAACCTTATTAATTTACTAAAATGTCACATTAAAATTGGGAAATGTTTTTGTTTACAACATCATGCTATAAAGACAATCTAAATTAAAAATTGTAAGCTAAGTATCGTTCGGGCGAAATCTCACGGTGACAAAAAGAGAGCAGAACAGTTTATGACATCTCAAGCTTGAAAAAAGAAAACGTAAAAAGCCTTTCTAGCAATCAAAACCATTGGAAATCATATCACATATAAATGCAAATAATGTAAATGAAAACCAAAGAAAATCACTAAATAACAGAGACTTCTAGTTTCTTTGGTTAGGATTATTTGTATTACAAAGATATAAAAATTGATTATGTTGCTCTTCACACATAGGGTTTCCATTTTGATAGTCAGAATCCTTCATTGTCACACCTGGATAGGAAATATTATGGAGAGATTCTTCCCCATACAGCAATATCGGTGAACGGTAACAGACGGTTCTCTAGATGAAGAATAAATATCATCATCTGTCACTGGCAGGACACACTGGATCATTGGTCTTGTGTCAATAATTTCCACCTCACAGTACCAAGGATCAACTGAATGAAAAGCCATACCCGTCTGAGGAAGGAGACAACTCTTTGGATAATAGCATCGGCATCACCGCTGCGTTTAGCAATGGTCTAGAAGGCAAATGGGACACAAGTCGGGGAGACTTGTGCTAAAGCTTTCACCAGGATAAAGCGTCAAGAAAATTTACACTGAGAAAAGCATTCAAACCACCATTCTAAGGGAAATTTACATCATTGGCAAGAACAATATTTTGGCAAACGCACCCTCAATATAACTCCACTATATTTTTTTGTGTTGCCTTAGAATATCTATTGTATTATCAAAAACTCTTTGGGTACAATTTTTCACGTCTTTGGATCTCTTTTATAGTATGCAAAGCCCTTTCGATATTAAGGCCATGTTAAAGCTTTGAGTTCAGTGCACTGAAAATGCCAAACATTATTTTATGATAAAGCTCAAATAGTTCGACAGTATCTAATGCACTTGTTATTTTCACAACATACATCATTCAAAGACAAACAATGTCAAACAAAAGCTCTTTCAACCTTAAAAATAAAAAGTTAAGAGAATTTTAAAAAATGAGGACCTCTAGATAATAACGCCCCAACAGAGGTAATAAGACATGGCAATGAAATGTTTTCACCTTGTCCCCTGAGTCTGAGATAATACTGCACCATACGTGGTGAAAAGGAGGTAGTAATGTATGTACAATAACAGAACACGGAGGTAGATAATCAGTCAAAAGAGCTCAACTACACCCTCTGCTCCAGTGGAAAGTAATTAAATATAATGAAAATGTATCACAGTACATTTGAGACATTCTTTTTAACATTCATCATGGGTGAGCTTTGGTTTAGGACAGACAACGCCAAACACAGACAAACAGGTAGAAAGTTAAAAAAAGGAAAAAAGGAAATAAAATGTTATAACGAACATTCATACAAAATCCTGAGGTAGATCTGAAGTAAAAGCACATTTCCTCCATCGCAGCAGCTGGCCTCCTGATCCCTTGTGCCTCAGGAAATAACCGAGGGGCTCAACTCAGGAAGCAAACAAGGTAGAAGTGGCTTAGCTTCGGCTGCTGGAGAGAGATCTAGGCCAAGTGGTGTCAGGACCCGACTGCTTGGGACGTGTGGAGGGCAGGATGAGCGCCCTCTGAGGTGCAACAGAGCCTGGTAGTGTCTGGGGCGGAGTGATGGAGGGGACGACTCAGCATCTCCTCATTTTCCACTTCAAAAGACTGCTTCAGCTCAGCAACAGTGGTAATATCGTCTGGCCCAAAAGATTCAGGTCTGGAGCTTTGGCTGGTCGAAGGGTTGCTCATCTCTTCGTTGCTTTCTTCGTTGGAGTAGTGTCCAGAGTCTCCCGTCTCTTGGCTGCCCTCGCTGGTGTGAGAGCTCTCCGAGTGGTAAGGTCCGTAGATGATCTCCCGGGACGAAGGGGGCAGGGGTGCTGAACCTGAACGCTCCTCGTACCTCAGAACGGTTTTTCCAGCCTCATACAAGCTGGCTCTCCTCTCAATCTAAGGAAACAGAGAAGATAAAGGTTGAATTATAATAAAAAAACATTTGACTTAAAAGAAAGCTGACTGACCAGAGTAATGTCTCATCACTTACATCACTTTCAGCTGGATTCCTGATGTCTCTCTTGAAGAGTAACCACCTCTTGCTTTGATTCTTACTGCTGACTGCACCCGCACTATTTATGATTATATTAGATCCACCCTGGAACAAATGAGAAAATATATGAGTGATACAGATTTTTTTAAACATGCACCTGTGAAACTTACTGAACTACACACTAATCACTCTGTTGTGTGTGTCTCACCTTGGCATCTATAAAGCGAGCACTTATCATGGGTATAAGGGCCTCCACATTCTCTGTAAGGTGTTCACTGGGCAGGGACAAACCAGTAAGTGGATCTTCAGCAGCCCCCACAGCAATGACTTTGTGACTGGAGGATTTTCTATAAGTCATACACAAATAATAATGCCAACAAATGTCAGAAAAAAACTAATTGTTTATGTTTTACAAAATAACTGTCAACTATTTTTTATTATTCAAATATTATTATGATCAGTACCTTGGTCTGCCCTTACTGATGAGGATCAAGGCACACATAACAATACAGGCCAAGGCGATGCTCACACCAACAATGATCCCTGTCATAGACCTCTGGTCTATGTGGTAAAGGCCATCGTTGAACACTGGAAGA